CCCCCCCCCCCCCCCCAAAAAAAAAAAAAAAGAAAAAGAAAAAAAAAACCCCTAACTTTGACAGTTATCATATAACCCCCCTTAACTTGTATACCACTAAACTTCTTAAAGATTTCACTTTAATACCTAAAAGTAACAGCATGAAGTAATAACATGTCACGTGCCAAGGACGATGTGACCGAAAAAGAAGAAAACACCCCTTAGCATTAAAATAATCGCTATTTTATTCTTTTTTATTATTTCCATTATTTTTTGGGTGTGAGTGTTGTTTTCACCTTTTCCCATCATGTGCTTGGAACATGATAAGTTAAATTTGAAAGTGTTAATTTAGGGGTTAAAGTGAACAATCTTCAATGGGTTGAGTGTAATAGAACAAGTTCGGAGGGTTTTGTGAAAACCCCAAAGCTGGGGGTTTTGTACCTATTAAAATAGTTAAAGGGGTTGTCTAAAAATTGCCTAACTTTAAGGGAATTTTGTGAAAATTTACCCTTTATATACCACCACAATATCTTCTGTCTGGTAAGATAACTTCGCCATAGTTTGAAAAAGGTTCTTCAGCTGGTAATTTGACTTCACGCTTCATACTTTGGTTATAAACTGATCAAATAATTCTTTTTGTCTTTCCTATATTTTTCAGTATCTTTTTAAGCAACAATGTTTAAAAAAACATGTTACATAACTCGTTATGTTGCTTTATGCATCCTATCAGGCCTTAAATATTACGTAATCTTATGAAATAGCTGAGGCATATTATAATCCTAAGTTATTACAATATAGTATGCATTATTTCAATATAACTTACGTTATTTCAATATAACCTATGGTATTTTAATAACCTACGTGATTTCAATATATAAGTTCTAGAGGCTTGAGTATATCCTTTCTTAAAACTTGAAGAAGTTAAGTAATTACTTATGAATTGCTTGTTAAACCTTCATGTCTTGGTGTGGTGATCTGAAATTATGAATATGACTGTTAAAACGAATGTAATTATGAATGAGATATAAATATATAATATATATTTGAGTATCCGATTGTGACACTTCCTAGTAAATCTATATAAATTGTGTAGAATAAAAGATTTTATTAAAATATTTTTGTATTATGATATTTTGATCTTAATTCTTAAAAGTGTTATGAATATCTTTATATATTTTTAAAATTAAACAGTAAGAAAATATTTTGCTCTTAATTGAGATGCTATGTTTGCAAATTTTAACAATGTTAATTATTAAAGTCAAAGTATTATGAATGGTTTGTAATATGTAAATAATTAATAAACAAAATAACATACATTATGCATTATGTTTTTTCGCATTCTTTTCTTTAACCTTAACAAGCGGTAGAGCATTATGTTATGCATTTTTGTTATTTTTAACATTGTTTTTAAGTGCTTAAAAGTTCCTGTTGATATTCATTTCAATAACTTATCTTTCTGGCAGACAAACACTATGATCTACCAAGATGTCTTTGCATGTTTACCCAATGATCTTATACACTCCAGGTACTTGATCACAAAACTCTTACTTCATTTTCTTTCTGGTTTAGCTTTGTTCCAAGTTCATAAATAAAATAAATATCTCATATTATGCAGATCTTCTGTTCGTCAAAGTATGTCCTATTGGAAAGAGAAACTCAGCTACACAACAATCGATCTTGGTATTGCTCCAGAGAAGCTAGAATCCTACCAAAACGGAGATGTCAAAAAAACCGAACCTTCAGATAGATTGCAATCAGTTAGAGGCCATCTCGTTTCTTTTCCATTAGATTTCATGTGGCAAGAGGATCTGAGACCCGTCTTCAATGAGAGCGAATATTATGCCTCTGCTCAAGTTTTTCACTAGATTTCACTTTTGTGATATCAAATTCCTTGTATAGTCGCTCCGATTTTTATTTTATGTATTTGTATATTGCGGAAGCAGCATCACAGCATTGTACATATACTTCAGATAAATCAGAAAGAAAGAAGAGGAGAGGGGTGGGCTTATTTTTGGGGAAGTGAAGGACAGTATTCTCCTCCTATGAAGCACGGACACGCATAACATGAAGCCGTATCGTGTCGTGTCCGTGTCGGACACACGTGTCGAACACACGTATCCTATGTATTTTTTAGGATTTGTCTCGTGTCGGCGTGTCGGATGGCCGATTTTTTAGGATTTGTCTCGTGTCGGCGTGTCGGATGGCCGTGTCGGATCCGTGTCCGTGCTACATAGTTCTCCTCTACTACATAGATATTGCACCTTCTAATAAAAAAAATACAGTAGCCGGTTATTCTTTTTACCAATAGGATATCCAATACCTCCAATCTTTGTATCACCCTAACACATCAATTTATACATGTAGAAATGTTTACCACCTACTACATTGTATTACTGAAGCACATCAAATCAATTTATACATGTAAAAGTTTTTACTACGCTGAAAGATTCTGTACATGTGTTACTTCATAATATGTATTTGTATTGTGTATTTTTCTGGTGGAAACATAGTTAGATATCTTTGCGTCTCTTCATTATATGATTTTGGATTTTGGATTTTCCTGGTGGAACGCGGAGAAATATACTAGCCAATTGACATGAAAAATAATACATCTGATGCTACATGCAAATTAGCATTTTAATTCCTCATTTTTATGACATGGCAGAAATTTCAATAACACTTATGTTTTTGTTATCACAGATGGTTTGTACACATTTTCTTATGTTTTTTTTTGGCCCTCTGTAGCTTTATCAAGCTTGGAAAGCATCTCCTTAAATTATGAACCAAATTATATTTTCCATCACAAATTGTCCGTCTATCGAATGGTATACAATGAAAAAAAAATTACGGCTAGAAGAACACTTTGAAAGTTATTTACTGTTTTGTGCGTAATAAAGGAAGTAAAGTTTTTATGGGCGGTCAATTCGAAAAGAAAAGAAAGAGTCTGGAAGAGAGCGCTCGGTTCAATCAGTTTGAAAATCTTTTAAACGGAACTAAATTGAATATATTCTAAAATCAAATCGAAGTGTCCAAATTCAGTCGATTTACTTAGTTCTAACCGATTAATGCTCACCCCGACATTACTCTCATTGTAAATTATTTGAATGGACTTTTAATTTTGACGACGTCATTGCATCATAATGTGAATATCCGGACATTTCAATGTGTTTAATTGCTTTACTACAATAATTGTTGGGACTAGTTTCATAAAATTTAAAAATTGAGGCACCTAATGGCGATTTTAATTATTCGAGGATCAATTTCGAAATGTGACGAGCGGAGCGCAGCCTTGTTTGCTGCGGAAGTGGTATTGAGCTTTTCCTCTCCCCGACTCCAGCAGCTTTCATTGAATCATTTTCACGAACAAGTGGTGAGTCTCTTTTATCTCTCATAACTCACTTTCTCTATGAGCCTAATAGAATAAAAAAAAATATTCTATAACAATCTTTTGGTGACCCATTACGATGATCAACCTAACTGTTCTTCTTTTGAGATATTTATTTGGGGGGGGGGGGGGGGGGGGGGGGATAATGATTGAGGTGTTTGAGAAAATAACGCTTAAAATTCAAGCTGGTAGTTTTAATGCTCAGCATCACGTTCAATTGGACGATTTAATCCAGTTCTAGGCAAAATCGTTACTTAAAATTTCATGGGTTTTTTGTTCTGATACCACGTGTTCCATCATCAGGATCTGAAGTTTGAGCTTCAGCCCTAATATAATAAGCATTGATGTCCAATGGCACCATCTGATATAAAACCTGGCAAGCTGGTTGCTTTACATGAGCTGGAGGCTTCATCCCCATTCTTCAAGCATGGCTCATCTCTTCGTGTTACCGGGAAGTAAGTTACCACTCACCACAAATATTTTTCATTATTATTATTATTTTCTTGTTCTTTCTCTGATTTTTTTTCCTTTTTTTTTAAATTATTATAAATAAAAATAAAAATTTACACATGTGATGATGACAAGCGGGCAACAAGCTGCGCCGCTAATCCTTTCTGAATTGCAAAACCTAACCTACGAAACACGTACTCAGCTGACCCTGCTGTCGCCACATTTCTATTCATGAATTTTTGTACCCTCCTGAGGAACTCCACCGCATCAGCTGCAAGGTAACCAAACGTATCGAACGCGAACGGGATGAAACTGTGGTGGTTGTCCTTGCAAGCTTGATCATGTTTGCCCACCTTTGCCTCTGCCGCCCTATCCGCTGCATGCCCAACCGTGAACACTCCATTACCAAACCCCACCAACGGAGACACCCCCGTGAGATCAACACAAGCGTGCTTCCCCCCGCTCCAACTGTAGACAAGAACGTCTGCCGGCCTTAAAGTAGATCTAGCCTCTCCAGGAGGCGTGAGGAAGTTGACCGGCGCTTCCTTCTTGGATGAGATCCCTGCTCTTCGGAGGATATCATACAAGACATCTCTAACTAAGTCATGCCTGTATTTGAACCCCGGCTGCCCTGCTCTTCGGAGGATATCATACAAGACATCTCTAACTAAGTCATGCCTGTATTTGAACCCCGGCTGCTTCTGACAGTGGATGGCATGCTCTCCAAAAGCATCCATCGGCGACCAACAGTGGATGGCATGCCTGTATTATTATTATTATTATTATTTTTGCTTGGCACTATTTATTTGGTATTTATTTGGTTAAGATTGTGTTCAGCAACTTCACTTGCAATTAATTTGGGAAGTAGGTTATCATGAATATTGTTGCATAATTTGTTTGCTTAGTATTATGGGTGACTTCTTTCCCATAATTCTAGAAATCCTTTGAAATATTTGCTATTGATTTGGTGAGCTTTTTTGTGTTACCTTCACTTGCGACAAATTTAGGGCGTGTGTGCAATCTTTTGTGTTACCAAGATATATATTACCACAAACATCGCCACATATCTTCAAAATGTTTGCTATAACTTTGCTTCTAATAAAGTTAGGGAATTATTCGCAATGTTTACTATTCACTTGCTGAGCAATGGGTGTAGAAACTTCACTTGCAATAAATTTAATTTATCCTTCCAAAGAATTTGCTATTCATTTGCGTAGTATTGTGTAACTTTGCTTGCAATAAAGTTGAGATATCCTTTGAAGAATTTGCTATTCATTTGCTTAGCATTGTGTTTTAGTAACTTGACTTCCAATAAAGTTAGGGAATGGGACATCGCACAAAAATGTAGGTTTTACCCCCAAAACGTTGTTGGATATCTTCGAAAGGTCTTCTGTATGTTTGTTTAGCGCCATGTGAAGGAACTTCAGTTCCAATAAAGTTAGTGGATGGAGCTTGAAGTTATCTCTTTATTTTTTCTGTATATTGTTGATGGGCAACCAAAGGAAAAAAAAAAGGAAAAAAAAAAGAAACAGTGTTGAAACAGAGATGTTCTGATGTATTTTTCTTTTTCAAAGTCAAAACATTTACCCATTGATTATTGTAAAAATTTGATGAATTAATACTTCTTATGTTACCAATGATGCAAACATTGTGAACTGGAGTGTCGGGTTTAGGTTGAGGTGCTTCATCAGATGAGTTGTCTGGTATGAATAACTATTGTGCTGGATTTATTCACGCGGTTATCAAGTAATTTCATACTAGGTATTTTATATAATTTTTTACTATTTTAAGATAGCATATCTGTAACTCAAGTACATTTCACTTTTCAGAGACATAGTACCCATGAGCATCTAGAGTGCAAATTCAATTATAATGGGAACTTGGTATCCTTTAATTTCCCAGACCGATGAGGGAAACTTCTGTAGCCTAACCCCTATTTATTTATGCATATGCAATTTTAATTTGTAATGGTTAACACACATTACATGTGAAAAGATGCATCCAACAGTCCAATCCATTGCATAATTCTATTCCGAAGTTCTAATGTTCATTAGACCAATTATAAGAGTTATAAGTGCTTTCTTAGTGAAATTGTTAATTGTTTAACAAAACTATTTTCTTAACATCCTAAAAACTGAATCTTATCTTGTTAGGCTACAAGCACACAGTGTGGAAACTGGCATAGCAATCATCACTGATGGAGGGGTGAGCCTCAAGATCAACACCAAACACTTGACCAATCTTAGTCTCCGCATTGATTCTATTTATCAGTTCATTGGAGAGCTGCAAATTCAATCAGAAAATGATGTAATTGTTATGGAAACTTTGATTTTTTTTTCCCATCTACTTCAATTTCTACTTACCTTCGAGTTTCCAAACTAGCATTATGTTTTGTTTCCTATTTCAGGCAATCCTGCAGGCAAGAGTTGGTAGAAATGTTGATGGCATTGATCTTAATCTCTATTACCAAACTATGAAGCTTCGTCGAAAATTTGAAGAAGAGATTGTGAGATCAAGAACAAAGTAGTCTCTTATCCTATAGATAACTTTTATTTTTGTAGAGAGGTTTGGTGACGAAGATCTATACTAGTCCCTTCCAACAGAAAGAAGACTGCAAATGTTTCTGATACTTTCTCAACTCTAATGCTAAAAGTTATTTACTTCTGCTGTTAATGTTCTTTGTCAATGTTAACAAGGCACTGTTATAAACAGGCAGCAGAAACAGCAGTTCTGAATTTGCAATATTTTGTGACAGGTATTGGAAGTTCTCAGTCTTTTTCTTTCGTTGACATATTTTGGCCACCAAAATCTATTCTGATACCTTTCTCTTTGTATTTTATTGGTCATTACACAAATGATTATAAATCATATTAGAATAATCTGTTGACAACCTACACTCACCATTCCATTGGACAGACTTTTTTCCTTTCATTTTCTGTCAGGGTTGAAGCTGACGGTTAAGAGTCTTTTTGTAAATTGGTATTTAGTTGTTGTTTCCTATAACTAATGTTGTTAAATTTAAATTTCTTTATTTATGTAGGTCATTACATCCAAGAATTTTTCTAATAATTTCCTCTCTCATCTTGTTTACACTGTCTGCTTAAAATTGAGGGATTAGTTTCAATAAGACAACGATTTGTATAACTAGTGTTGTGTTTTGGGGAAAATATTAGGGTTACTTCTCCCATAGAGAGGTACCACTTTTATATTAATGCACTCTTACAGAAAAGTCCTTACAATATTAACTAATTAACTCAACACTCCCCCTCAAGATGGGCGATAGATATCAATCATCCCCATCTTGTTACAAAAGATATCATACTCTCTAGAACCTAATCCTTTTGTTAAACAATCAGCTAACTGCTCTTCTGATTTCACATAGCTCAAAGTCAGAACTCCTCTATTCAGTTGCTCCTTGATAAAGAACCGATCAATCTCCACATGTTTGGTGCGATCATGCTGAACTGGATTGTTTGCAATATTAATCGCCGATTTGTTGTCACACCAAAGTTGTAAGGAGTCTCTTCTAAACAAGCGCAGCTCAGATAATATGTTTTTTACCCACATCAACTCGCACAGACTAACTGCCATAGCTCTGTACTCGGCCTCAGCTGTAGACCTAGCCACCACATCTTGCTTCTTGCTACGCCAAGATACGAGATTGCCTCCAACAAATACACAGTAGCCTGTAGTGGATCTACGATCATCCATACAACCCGCCCAATCAGCATCACAATAGCCTTCAATTCTCAGATGTCCAAAACTCCTGAACCATAACCCCTTTCCTGGGCTTCCTTTAATATATCTAAGAATTCTGCGAACTGCCTCCATATGCTACTCTCTGAGATCATGCATATATCTACTCACCACGCTCACTGCATGAGTAATATCAGGTCTCGTATGGCATAGATATATAAGTCGTCCAACCAATCTTTGATATTGCTCTTTACTCACAGGGTCCCCACCCTCGGCACTCATCTTATGATTCTGCTCAATAGGAGTAGATGCAACTCTGCACCCCCAACATCCCTGTCTCTGAGAGAAGATCCAGAGCATACTTCCGCTGAGAAAGCACTATACCCTTTCGCGACCTTGCAATTTTAATTCCGAGAAAGTACTTCAACTGCCTCAGATCTTTAACTTCAAATTCCTCTCCCAATTTCTTCTTCAACAGTAGGATTTCCTCAGCGTCATCTCCAGTGATTACAATATCATCAACATAGACCGCCAGGATAGTGATACGAGTTTTGGAGTGCCTGTAAAACACAGTATGATCACCATTGCACTGCTTGTACCCCATACCACAAACTGCCAACCTGAATCTATCAAACCATGCCCTCGGAGACTGTTTTAACCCATACAAAGACTTCTTCAACTTGCACACCTTCCCAGCTACTTAAGAAGTAGTGAAGCCTGGTGGAATCTCCATATATACCTCCTCTTGAAGATCTCCATGCAAAAAGGCATTCTTGACATCTAGCTGATGTAGTGGCCAATTAAAATTGGCAGCACATGACACCAACACTCTAACAGTACTCATCTTTGCTACTGGAGCAAATGTCTCATCATAGTCAATGTCGTATGTTTGGCTGTAGCCTTTAGCAACCAATCTGGCCTTGTATCTGTCGATCTTGCCCTCTGGAGTTTGCTTAACCGTATACACCCACTTACATCCAACAGCACGCTTCCCAGCTGGCAAATGTACCAACTCCCATGTGTCATTCTTCTTTAAGGCCTGGAGTTCCTCGTGCATGGCATTCAACCACCTAGGATCTTGCTTAGCTATCTGCCAGTTGTTAGGTACAGGCACTGAATGCAACGATGCAATGAATGACTTATATGCAGGTGGAATGGATATTCTTGACATCTAGCTGATGTAGTGGCCAATTAAAGTTGGCAGCACATGACACCAACATTCTAACAGTACTCATCTTTGCTACTGGAGCAAATGTCTCATCATAGTCAATGCCGTATGTTTGGCTGTAGCCTTTAGCAACCAATCTGGCCTTGTATCTGTCGATCTTGCCCTCTGCAGTTTGCTTAACCGTATACACCCACTTACATCCAACAGCACGCTTCCCAGCTGGCAAATGTACCAACTCCCATGTGTCATTCTTCTTTAAGGCCTGGAGTTCCTCGTGCATGGCATTCAACCACCTAGGATCTTGCTTAGCTACCTGCCAGTTGTTAGGTACAGGCACTGAATGCAACGATGCAATGAATGACTTATATGCAGGTGGAATGGATGCATATGAAATATAATTCGCAATATCAGTATCCCAATTACCAAACTTAGCTGGAGGTTTTCCAGCATTGACTCTAGAGGTTCTGCGGGGCAAGACAGGAGTATCAGAGGTATCAGGGAAGGAATCGTTACCTATCGACTCAGGTGGAGGAGAAGAGCAAGGCACTGGAGAGGAGGGACTTGGGTCATCAACATTTGTGGGTACTGACACAGGCACGGGAGGCGGCTCATGCTGCTGTTTCTGTCTCCTCGTGTATACTCTCAGCTCCCCCTGACCTTGACTGTCACCTCCTGAGTCGCCACCACTACTCGGCGGTGTACCATCACTACTCGGTGACTCAAGAGGACATGGAATCATCCCGACCATAATATCATTCTCATTCTCATTCTCCCCCTCTCTACTGGCATCAGTAGAGCCATCTCCAAACAAGGAACTCAACTCCGTCTTCTCCCCATAAAAAGGTTCAAACTCCCGAAAAGTCACATCCATACTGACAAACAGCCTTCTTTCAGTGGGACACCAACACTTGTAACCTTTTTGACTAGATGAGTAGCCAACAAAGATACATTTAACTGCTTGCGGATCCAGTTTACTCACCATCAACCTGTGATCTCTCACATAACATGTGCATCCAAACACTCTTGGTGGAACAACAAAAACATTTGAGCCCAAAAGCATCTCACATGGTGTCTTCATCCCTAATACTCTTGATGGCATCCTGTTGATCAAATAAGCTGCTGTCATAACAGCCTCACTCCATAAAAACTTAGGCACATTCATTGTCAACATCAATGAGCGTGCCACTTCCAGTAAATGTCTGTTCTTACGTTCAGCCACCCCATTCTGAGCAGGGGTGTCTGGGCAGGTGGTTTGATGAACAATTCCCTGATTAGAGATGAAAGCTGCAAACTCCTTATTGACATACTCAGTCCCATTATCTGTTCGAAGAATCTTCACCTGCACTCCAAACTGTGTCTTCACATAAGCCGAGAAATCTTGAAAACATTTGTAAACCTCTGATTTCTGCTTCATCATGTATATCCAGGTCATACGTGAATAACAATCAATGAAAGTAACAAACCATCTAAAACCACTGATAGAGGTAGTAGGACATGGTCCCCAAACATCAGAATGGACAAGTGCAAATGGTTCACAACTTCGAAGACCAATCATTCTATAAGTAGAACGAGTATGTTTTCCAAGTTCACATGCATTACAAAATAACTCTTTTCTATCCACTTTCTTCATTAACTCAGGTTCTAATCTATTTAAACTCTCAAAAGATAAATGCCCTAACCGGCAATGTTGAAGCATCGCTTCTGCCTCTGGCCCTCCGCTAACAGCAGCAGCAATCATTGTTGTCTCCCTGTCTAAATACCAAAGACCATCACGTCTGATACCAGTCCCAATCCTCCTCCCCGTTTCCTTCTCTTGAAAGACACACAAATCTCGATCAAATAACACGGTGCAATTTAATTGATCAATGAGAGAGCTACTGATGACAAGGTAACAGATGAAGTGCAATGGACCGAGCCAGTACCCCTGATGGGTTGGGATGTCCCATCAGCAGTCTGAACTGTCTCAGGATGCATATGCTTACTCGGATAATATAATGCAAACTCACTAGATGCTCCTGTGACATGCCTAGATGCACCTGAGTCTATGATCCAATCAACATGAGTTTTAGTGGATGCAAGTGCCTGAACCTGTGTATCTTTGTTCGCATGAGCATAACCAATAAAGTTATCAAAGCATGTAGTGGTAGCCAGATCCTGGGTGACTTGTCCCTTGCCCTTCAAACTCTCAGTCTGAAGCTTGAACAGACGTAGTTCCTCCATCTCTGTTATTTCAGCTCCAGTCATCCCAGCAGTAGTCTGAGACTCATCAGTCACAGCTAGGTGAGCAACTCCTTGGCCTACACGCCCCCTACCTCCTCGACCTGCGCAGCCACCAGTCTGACTACGTTCACCCCAGTTCCTTTCCCTGAGTGGCTTAGGGCACATCTGTCTCAGATGCCCTACCTCTTCGCAGTTGAAGCACTGCCTAGTCTCCCCTCTGAATCCAGTGTTATCCGGGTTGGATACTACCAGTGCAGACTTCTCCCCTGTAAGTCCACCTATCCCAGACTGTAGCCTGATACGGCTCTCCTCCTGTATCATGGCCGAGACTACCTTCTTCAGTGGTGGGATCTTCGTCTGGGCTAGTAACAATGCCGTCCTCTGCTCATACGCTGGAGCCAAACCTCTGAGAAACAGCATGGTCCTCTTCTGCAAAGAGGCATCGCGCTCCTTGCACTCCGGGTCCTTGCAGCTCGCTACGGGCGAGAAGTGATCGTGATCGAGCCACAAGCGCTCCAGCTCTGTGGCGTACTCCTGTACAGTTCTCTCTCCCTGGACTATAGCGCTGATCTCCTTCTCGATCTGGAATACCCTCAGGTTATTCAACTTCTTGATGATCTCCTCCATCGGATTTTTTCCAGTCTTCGTCATCGATCCAACTTGTATTCTTGTGGTGCGCAACGAAAAAATCCGGCAGCACTTCGACAGC